GCTGTTGCTGTCTATCCTCCCCCGTTCTCCCCCCTGAAAGTCATTGCTTTTTCCGCTCTGCCCCTACCTATGCGCACCACTATGCTCTGGCTGCTGTAGAGCTGCCCACTCTCTTCCGCTCTGCTCCCTTCACCTATTTCCTTTTGCTCTGCTTTTGGTTTGGCTTTCTTCGTTTGCCTTTGTTACCGTTATTGTTATTGCAGCGGCTTTAGTATGCCGTTGCGCACAGTTGGTTTAATAATTCGAAAATGTTTTTGAGTGTGTGTCTCCCTCTTCTCTCCCACAAAACACCATTTTCAGGCCGCCGCCGCAGAACAGCTCTGTTTTGTTAATGTCGTCGTCTGTGAGTGGGTGAGGGGTTCGTGGCTCGGGGTACGGGTTATGGGTACACGGGGTTCATTCACCGGCAAACCCAACCAGAGACAAATGCCAATAAGAACATCCCGAGTTGGTTGGTTGGACTCACTCGTAGAAAAACTCCAATTCTTGGTTAAGCCGAAACACAGATACTATCACCACACACACACAAACACACACAGATACCACCACTCACACACACTCAACAGAGGCTTGTTTTTTTGGTGGTTGTTGTTGTAGTGTTATTAATTTCGCCGTAAACGACCATTAACCCGTAGGCACGTTAAAAAAAAGCTATTGTGTACCTCTCTCTCGTACGCTCTCCTTGGCTGTTAGATGATTGCAAAAAGCAGTCAACCGCTCCGCTTCCACCGGTAATTATAAAAACAATAGTAAACACAATTTACTACGCGCACTATACGACGGAATACGGCGTTGTAAAAAATAAATAAAACAAAAGCACGTCCGCTAGCCAATAGAACGTCTGCACATTTATTAAACACTTTTAAACACAAACAAACAAAATAAAACACGCAAAAACTCCAGCCAAGACTCCAAGAAATTTAAACGTAGTGCTTGCACCGATACACGACAGACGAGAACCCGCGCAGTTCAAACACAACACACAACACGTTCGCTCCAGTGTGACAGCGGATTTATATATAAAATATACCGTGAGGGCCTCGTAAATATACCAAAAATACCATTGCATCTTCGAAATATACCGTAAATATACCGTAGCCTTACATCAGGTTCCTCGATTTTGATGTTCTATTGTATATTACTAGCTTATAAATACTTTCACCACTAAAACAATAATTTAATCTGATTGAAAAATCAATTTTAATTATTATAAATACTCTTTTTTATTGGATTGTATATCTTATGACCTTATATTTTGCAAATTTGTATTTGAATTTTTCATTCATATCACCCCCATTGGAAGCACGGGAGCCTTGTCTTCAGTATGTAAATGTATGTATATAATTAAAAGATACATGTATATTAACTGATAATTTTTCTGAAAGGGAGACGGAACGGCAACATAAGTAAATATTATAATTAACACGAAGTTGTTTGGGGGGCCGTTCTTCTATCTTCACAACATAATTGGTTCTATAATCCGGTAACGACATTATCATTCATAATTCATTATTTATATTAATTATAATTCTGTATCATCATTATCGTCTAACTAATCACCTATGGATGGTGTTTTCATTGAATTTATCTCTTTTCTTATATTTCTATATATTTTTTATGTTTAAAAATTAAAGTTTTATATTTAGTTAATCATTTATTTTTTATCTACATAAAATCTACATTTTTATTCAATTTAAATCAATCAATCAATTAATTTTGTTTCGAATCTGTTTGAAATCTTCTCAAAAATGTGTTACCTTCTCAAATATACCGTAATATACCGAACAATTGTCGAAATATACCTATATATACCGCTATACCGTACATGTACCGTCGACTCAATTTCGACGTAAAAATATACCGAAAAGTATAAAATATACCGTCAACGGTCACCCTGGTGGTGACCAGGGAGCAGTGTTGCCAATTTAGCTATTCTCTCACTCGATCTATCTATTTTAAATTGCTCAATGCGGGATACATTGTAAAATATCGGGTACGGGAATTATAGCTATTTTAACTTTTTTTTAGACCTTTGTCAGCTCTAAGTAGTTTTATGCTTTTCGATGCCACCTTGTAGTTTTTTCCATATAAAATGTTTTTTTTTTAAATTGAATGATATTTATAATCTTGGCTATTTTTAGCGTTTTTCAAAGCTTAGTTAAGGTTTTTTACCACCAAAATGTTGGCAACACTGCAAGCCAGCTCTCAAATCTGGTAAATTTATGTTATAAAATTAGACGGTTTACAACAGGTAAAACGGCAAAAAAAATCCAGCTAGGCAAGTTAAATTACACCAGCTATTTCAATTTCCTCCTTCTCTTTGTCACGCATTGATGCTGCTTGTGAGTGCGAGTGAAAGGGTTCTGCGCAGTAAGTGTGAGTTAAACCTCGCACCTAATAGTATACTATACTATTTGGTTAGCGGTTAAACGAAACTATGGTGTGATTAATTAACCCTATATGGCATGGGGGTTAAAGTTGTCCATTACGAGAAAATTAGTAAAAGTTCTTTTTTTTTAAATTTGATTTTTTAACCACTTACTACTTGAAAGTAGTCGTTATTTTGGCTTTTTAGTCGATTTTCTTTTGCTTAGACTCATCAAAAAAATGCATCGAAAAGTCATATTCAGCGCGCATATGCTAAAATAGGGATTAATAGGGAAATTAAATTTTAAAAAAAGAAACAAACACAGACACGCGTACCGCAAATTATTTTTCTCTTAATATTTGTGTACCTTATTCGTAATTTTCCATTTCCATCTCTGCACAGCCTGCAGACGGGAATCCAGAGCCATTAGCGATTATATTACTCACATCAAAAGACTGGGAGAGGTTCAAGTCGATAACCATCAACCATGATTGACAGAAATCTGAGAAGTTTGTTCCAAGCGGAGCAATAAACACAGGGGGTTAAATGCATTTTAATTATTTTATTCACATATTTAGCGTATTTCGAAGCCAGTGGAAAATGCTTTAAAAATGTCTTTGTGCGCCTAGTCTAGACAATGAAGACCATGTGGGGCAAGTTGAACTCAATGAAAGCGTCGTGCAAGTTGACGTTGAAATTTCATTTGAATATGGCAGGGCCCCATCCAAAGGAGAACAAGTCACAGGTAATCAAGTAGGCCTGCAGGAAACACTCAACAGCAAGGCTACACAAACCAAAAGTCAAGCTACAGTTGACGTTGAATCGTGTTCCCCAAATTGATTTTCGAACATTCGTGCCAAAATGGCAGAATTGGTACCCAAGGCCAATTGGGTTCGTTGGTTCTGAAAGCGATACGGAAATAAGTTTTTCGTAAAGGTGGACGAGAATTTCATGTGAGACACGTTCAATCTCTTATTCCTGGAGGGTGAGAATTATCAGAGGAGCCTCAATGTGATCCTCAACGATTCCGAGCCCGATGCTGGAAACAATTTCGATGTGGAGGCCGCTAAGCTCTACGGGCGTATCCACGCCAGATTCATTCTCACAGATCATGGCATCGAACTGATCTACCAGAAGTTTCAAAAGGCGTCTTTGGCACATGTCCACGCGCCTTATGCACTCGCCAGAAAGTCCTTCCCATTGCCATGAGCGACACACCTGGCCAAGAAATGGTGCGACTCTACTCTACTCTACCCAAGCACTCCAAGGCGAAGTATTATATGCAAAGGTCGGTTCCCGCTATTGTCTATTTATCAATTCTTTGTTAATGTATTTGGATTCCATACGCAGACTGTTTGGCTTCAAGATTCATCCCCTGGCAGTTGGCTCTGAGTCCTCTGACCGTCAGGAAGCTGATAATTAAGAGTACAGCGCCCTGCCATAACCAATTTCCCCGTGTATGATTGCCGGATTGCTTTAGACCTACATTGATGGTCACAGAACACAAACACAAAGTCAACCGTTTTTGTGGTTGAGTATCATTTCTTGAGTCAAACTTTATATTTCAAAAATGGTGTTCCAACTCAGATTGGAAATATTAAGCCCGCCCGCCACCAACTGTGCTCTTCGCGCCATCGCAATAATCAACACCGAAAACTCACCACGGTCAGAGCCGTTTCGCTCCGATGGCTGGTATCGATACACATCGCTATGCGAAATTGCAGGGCGGGCTTTGAGAAAATTCAAATTGTACTATCAATAAAGAAAAACTGGCATTTATTATAATTTATTGTTTATTAACGTTTCATCTGTGTGAACTGTTTTTTATGATAGTTACGAATAATTATTGTTAATTACAGGCTAAGCTTTAATTGCTAGAATTTAGCAAAGTTCCTAAAAAAAAATATATGACATTACACAATATTATTATTACATCGATTTTCACCGTTCCGACACGTTTTACAACTATTTCGATAGCGCAACCAAAACAAATACAAAAAAAAATTCTAGTTAAAATAACATAAAATATTAAAACTTGCATTATTTTTGTTTGAAACCGAAAAGTGTTTAAAGAGCACAACTCCGTTCCCGTACCCAGGGGATCGTACGATTCGCATTGCAAATTAACATTAGAATTAAGCACTAGACAAAACGAAACGCTCTAAAACAGCTCTAATCCAAAAATAATAATTAAACAATTAAATTGAGCTACACAAAAAAAGTATTTAGTATACAATATATGGGTATGCAAGGTATTACATAAGAATATCTAAGCATAAACATTGAATTTCGCTATTAAACAAAAACAAAATCAAATAAAAACAATTAACGTGGCCCTGACAAACACTTCAAAAAAATCTCCCGACCCACTACCACTCACCGCTCCAATTAAACTCTTAAGAAACAAAAAAAAAACAGTATAAAAACGAAAAAAAACACCATCAAATCTGATAAGAATGCTCTCTCTCTCTCAAGGACAATGGCAATGGTTTTGATAACGCACTGGGGTATGGGTGGGGGGGGGGGGGGGGGGGGGGGGGGGGGGGGGGAGAGCAGGAGGAGTACGAAAATCAGCCTTGGTCTCAATTCGACAAACGCAATATTTCATCTAACATCGGAAATGACATATTAATTAATTATTAATTATGTATATATTGTTTTAGATGTTTCACTTTCGTATACAATGTAGTCAAATTGTCTGCGATAATTCAATTGAAAACAAGACCCGAGTTTGAGATATGCACACTGGGAAATATCCCACAGGAATTATTGTAGAACATTATTGTCTCGCCACCATGGCGAGCGGGTATATTGATTTTGATCGTGTTTTGAATTTTTTACAGGGTATTAAAATGTATTCGGAACACGACACGCACTTTTCTTGTAACCAAATTCACTTCATTCATTTATGCATCTCTTCCTCTCTCTATCGCTCTCTCTCTCCATCAGTCACTGGCTGATCGGTAACTCACCCGCCACCCACCAAAACCACACCGAAAACACCTGACCGCTCTCTATTGTTTGGTCACGCTCTCTCTCTCTCTATCCCTATCAGTGTTCGTATGAGTATTGCTTTGATATCTCTCTTTGAAGCCAGGCTTCGGACGTGGGTTAGAGTGAAACAGATGGATGGCTGGGCTGGGGCTGGGGGTGGTGATTGTTGTGTTTGCGATAGGCGATTGTTATCTGTGGCTCAGCGATTGGCATCAATCGATGCTCTAACTGTTAATGAGTGGGGGATGATATTAGGCGTTGTATGGGGCAGGGGGCGAGGGCTGCTGGAACCGAACACTGGACTCGAACACACATGCACACACATACAGGCACTCATACATGCTGACACATACACACATCCATCCATCCATACATACATATCATATATACACTATTCTAATTATTACATAATGATGCTAACAACGGTTTTTTCGTTTCTTTTTCACTTGGAAGGCAAACAAGCATTTCACAACACTGGACATGGATCTCCAACGTCGCCGACGCCAACGCCCACGTCTGCGTCGTGCCGCTCCATCACCATCACCACAACCGACACCATCACCAGCACCAGCTCATCCGTCTGGTCATTGCAGCGCACTCGTCAATGCCGCCCTCAGCTGTGTGGTTGTGGGTGTAGCCGGAGACTTGTGCAGCACACTGGGCCTCACCGCAACAGGGGACTGCAACTGGGATTGGGACTGGGATTGTAGAAGGATGGGTGGCGGAGTATTGCTATTGGTTTCAGGTGTATCCGATATATCACCGCTGACACTGCTCGCGGGCGAAAGCATTGAGCTGGTTTCCGTCTCGCTCAGGCAACTGCTCAGCTGTCGGATGACACTTGTGGCAGATTGCTCCCGTTGCAGCTGCTCCTGCTGCTCCCGCTGATAGAGAAACTTGCGGGCTGCCGTCACATTGACCACACTCACCGACTTGGAGATGGAATTCTTTACAGAACTGGGCGCAGGCGGTACGAGGGCCAATTGGTTCTGCGACTGGGATTGCGTGGGCGATGGCGCCATCTCCTCCAGTGTGAGCATGGTGGCCGATGAGGAGGCCGGTGAGCTGTAGCCATCGTCCAGCATGCTGGTGTCCATCGGCTGTACACCGCCGGACTCGGCCTCGACGCTTTTCTGTAGATTCTCAATGAGGTACAGGACAATCCGTTCCAGCTGCTGGGGCGCCTGCGAGGCAGGCAGATCCGGACTGCTGCTCTGCGTCGGCACATCCGCCTTGATGATGGTCGAGAACTTGTTCTTCATCTCTTGCACCTTCTGACGGCCGGCCTCCTCGTCCAGCAGCGTGTTGACGCACAGGAACGAGTGCACCTTATTGCTCCCGCGATCAATCTCCAGGAATCCCTTCGTGTGCAGGTATATGAAGCGTCCATTGCGCGACAGCAGACGGTAGCAGCTCTCGCCATAGTCGCTGTTGCAGTCGTACATCTGCCTCAGAGCCACAATCACCCAGCGGACATCGTCCAGATGCATAAAGCAGAACGGACTAAGATTTCGCACCTGCAAAAAAATTGGACCGGAGGTGGAATTAATAAATCTTCGATTTAGTGGCACACAGTGGCTTACCTCATCCTTCATGTAGCCGGCGACAAGGCCAATCCTTTGATCACAGTCAATGATGCTGCCGTCGATGAGGTGCCGCGTCCGATATTCCAGCTGGTACGGTTCGGGCTGGCGGTAGAGCAGACTGGAGCCAAAGTCCTCGCATTCTGGCGACTCGGCACGGACACCTTCCTCGCGCAGCACACGGGCCATGGCCACCAGGACAATGTCGTTGCCACTGATGCCATGCAGCGCCGCCTGGGCAATGGCATCGTGCTGGGGCAGACAACCGGTAATGGCCGCCGCAGCTGCTGCGACTGCCGTCGCCTCGGCAGCGGCTGCTGCTGCGGCCGCAGCCAGCATGTTGTTGTTGCGCGATCTACGGATCAACTGCGAGACAATGGGATAATTGGCAGCCGCGCCGCCCGTCAGCGAGGAGTCGCTGCGCCGAAAACAGCCATCGATCTTCACCCGCTCGTACTGGCGGCTGGCCTCGGCGCGCGTGGAGGCACGCGCCACACGAATCGTGAAGCAGCGGCGATCCGAGCGCAGCCTTTCGTCTATGGCCGCCAGATGGGCAATGGTACGAGGGCTGGGGCTGCGTCGTGGATAGATCTCTTCGCAGCCTAGGTCTTGGTCCGCTGTCATCTCTTCGAGGTCCGGCTCCGCGTCCGCCTCCTCGTCGGCATCCTCCTCCACATCGCTGCCCGAAACGGATGCCGATGTGGATGTAGAGCGGTGCTGCTGCTGCCGCTTCTGAGAATGCGTCGTCTGGCGCTGCTGGTAGAACAGCGTCTCGATGTCACGTGGAATGAGCTGCTGTCGGAGCAGGGCCTGGTCATCCGGGTGCGTGATCTGCAACAGATTCTGCCCATACAGATCCGACTGGCAGTGGCCCAGCAGCTGCTCCACGCTGGAGGAGACCAGAACGATCTGGCCATTGCAGGTGATGGTGATAAAGCAGCTGTCGAGCAGCTGCATCAGCGTGTCCGTTAAATGGAGACTGGGATTCTGTGTGGCGGCCGACGCTGTATTGCCGCTGGATGGGTCCTGCGATGACACACCCTTCAGGCAGAGTATACGCCGCCGTCGTGTGGCCGACTTCCCGAAAACATACTGGAGACGGAGGCCGTGGGTGGCGAAACGCAGGACGGCCGTCTTGTCCAGGCGGCGGGAGGATTCGGCTGCATGTGGCACCATCGTGGCCAGCTCCTGTATGCTGGCATTGAGCTTGTCCCGTCGCTGTTTTTCGGCCAGATTTCGGGCCTCTCGTCCATTTGCTGCCTCCGATGCAGCAGCAGCCGCCGCCGCTCCTGGCCCACCGGATGAGCCCAATGCTGCCGATGCTGCTGCTGTTGTTGCGACGTCGACGGCGGCAGCGGCTGTTGCTGTCTCTGCTGCGGCCATTGCGCACGTTACTGTTATGTGTGTGTGGGTGTTCTGGTGCTTGTGTGTGTGTGTGTAAATTGTTTTTGCCTTGCTTTTGATTGAAACGTTCTTATGGTTTTCCACCGTTACCCGTTTCCCATTCGCTAATTGGCGCCTTGCGGAAAATGGAAATCGTCACTCTCCATAACAGGATGATGGGGAGTGTTCTCTCACTCGCACTCGCACTCCCTTCCTCCACTGGTACTAGTACTACTACTTCTTATGCTGCTGCCGATGGCTCTCTCTCACGATGTTCGCTCTTTTATTAGTTTTTAATATTTGATATACATATGTATACATATATACACATGTATATATATTTGCTTTTCTTTAAAGTTTTCAAGGTCTCGCTTATGCTGTCGTGATGTTGTTGCTGTTTCTGTTGTTGTTGTTATGGCTAACCACCTTTACCTACGACCCTCTCTCGCTCTCGCTCGCTCGCACTGTCGCGCGGGCTCTCACCATCGAAAGTCACTCTCTCACGCAACGTTGTACATATGTTTTCTCTTTTTTTTTTTAATTACTGTTTATTTGCCTCAGCTGGGAATTATTCTTTTCCCGTATTTTTCCGCTCTATTTTAGTATGGTTCTTGTTATTCTTAATATATTTATTTTTTTTTTGCTGCTTCGTTTTTGTTGTAGTTTTTGATTGCGTTGCGAATTTAAGTATTTTGTTGTTGTTTTTGTTGTTGCTGCTGCTGATGTTAATATTATGTTTGTTGTTTTTGTTGTTGTGGATCGTCGTAGATGAGTGAGGTAAGTGCTGCTTTGCTTTGCCTTGCTCTCTTTCTCTCTCGTCCTCTCGTGTGTCAATTTGAGCTGCGTTTATTTTTTTCATCACACATTTACCAATAATCGCACTAGTTTTGTTTATATTAAGTGATTAATTGTTTATTAAACAATTATGTAGCGCACGACGACATTTGTGGTTGCATATCGATATATTGATCGATGACATGCGATATGTTTTGAAGGACTGCACTGCTTCGATGCAGTTGCTCTCCAGTAATTTCTGGTATATTTCAGCACATTCGCATGGGACCGTCAGGTGGCTCTGTTGTCAATTACATGCATGTGTAGCACAATCTACAATGCAAGATGTGATTATATTTTGATTCAATATATATTATTGCTTTGATTGAGCAGGAAAGATGTATCATAAAATCAGCAAATCCTGCTGAGAATTGAGAGATGATTTGAGTAAAATTAAATTTTTAAAGCTGAGATTTCGAACCAGCTGGTAATATTAAATTGAACATCAAAATCGAGGAAATTGATTTTAGATCTAACGTATATTTTACGGTATATTTTAAAAATGAAAAAGGGTATTTTGGTATATTTTCGAAGCCCTCACGGTATATTGTATCGATTAATCCGCGGTCACACTGCAGACGGTATATATTTTGTCGATAATTCCGCTGTACACGTGAAAGCGGATTTCGGATTTTCCCGGATTTCATAAAGTAAGCGTAACAATAAATCAATTTCACCCATGAAATTCACGTTACAAGACCACCCGCCTTGCAGACATGTCCAAGGCCAAGGGAAAGAAGAAGGAGCGCTTCGATGACGACGACGAGCAGCCCGAGAAAGTGCTCGTCCACGAGAAAAAGCAGACCAACAAGAAAGCTGGCAAGAAGGGTAAACGTGGCGGTGGCGACTCCAGTGACGAGGAGCAGCTGCCAGCCAAGGTGAGTGGCGGCAACAACAGGGATGCCGAGGATCTGGAGAGTGTGGCCTCCTCCAATCAAAGCCGTCAGCAGCAGCAGCAGGCGAAGAAAGGTGCAAAGAAGGGAAAGAAGGGCAAGAGGAACGACGACTGGAGTGATGAGGATGAAAAGCCAGTGAAGAGTGCTGCTCCAGCGGCCAATGATGATGAGGATGATGACGAGGATGCGGCGATGCCTGTGGCCAAGGCCCCGACAAAAAAGCAGCCACAGGGCAAGAAGAATAAAAAGAACAAGAAGAAGGCTGCCGATGACTTCAGTGACGATGATGAGGAGCTCGAGCTCGAGCTCCAGCTGGAGGAGGATGACGATGACGAGGAGGAGGCACCTCAGATGATAGCCAAGCCCTCGGCCAAAAAATCCAAGAAAAAGCAACAGCAAAAGAACAAATTCGCGGAGAGCGAAAACGAGGAGGACGCAGATGATCTTGAAGCGGTGGAGGAGCCACCAGCAGCCAAGAAGTCCAGCAAGAAGCAGGCGAAAAAGTTGTCCATCAGCGAGGACGAAGAGAAGCTCGAGGATGAGCCCGAGAACGACGTCAAAGAGGAGAAAATCGCTGAGATTCTCAGTGAAAAAATTGCTGCCGTTGCACTCAAGGAGCCCGAAGTGGTAAAGGCAGAGCCCGAACCGGTGGCAGAACCCGAGCCCGAACCGGAGGATGAGGCGGATCCCGATCCCGACTCGGAGGAGGCCATACGCAAATCCAGCGAAGAGCCCTCAGAGGCCAAAGAGAAGAAGCTCACGCACAAGGAGAAAAAGAAACAAAAGAAACAGCAGGAATACGAACGACAAATGGAGCTGATGACCAAAAAGGGCGGCGCCGGACATTCGGACTTGGACAATAACTTTACCATGTCGCAGGTGCAAAAAACAGCCGGCCAGCAGGCGGCCCTCGAGCATGCTGTTGATATTAAAATTGAGAATTTCACAATATCAGCAAAGGGTGAGTCATCAATTCGTTTGTATTTAGGATCTCCAATTACTGATCTCTGTCTCTCGCGCAGGCAACGATCTGTTTGTGAATGCCAATCTATTGATTGCCCATGGCCGTCGCTATGGCCTGGTGGGACCCAATGGACATGGTAAGACAACACTGCTGCGTCACATAGCCACACGTGCCTTTGCCATACCGCCGAACATTGATGTGCTGCTGTGCGAGCAGGAGGTGGTGGCCACCGACAAGACGGCCATCGAGACGATACTCGAGGCGGATGTGCGTCGCACACAGACGCTGAAGAAGTGCGAGGAGCTGGAGAAACAGTTCGCCAACGGCGATATGAGCATCCAGGAGGAGCTGAACGATATCTTTGCGGAGCTAAAGGCCATTGGCGCGTACTCGGCGGAGGCCAGGGCGCGTCGCATATTGGCCGGTCTTGGGTTTAGCAAGGAGATGCAGGATCGTCCCACCAACAAGTTCTCGGGTGGCTGGCGTATGCGCGTCTCGCTGGCCAGGGCATTGTATTTGGAGCCCACGCTGCTGATGCTCGATGAGCCGACAAATCACTTGGATCTGAATGCCGTCATTTGGCTGGACAACTATCTGCAGGGCTGGAAGAAGACGCTGCTGATTGTCTCCCACGACCAGAGTTTCCTCGACAATGTCTGCAACGAGATCATCCATTTGGATCAGAAGAAACTGCAGTACTACAAGGGCAACTACTCAATGTTCAAGAAGATGTACGTGCAGAAGCGTCGCGAGATGATCAAGGAGTACGAGAAGCAGGAGAAGCGTTTGCGCGAGCTCAAGGCTCACGGCCAGTCGAAGAAGGCGGCCGAGAAAAAGCAAAAGGAGACGCTCACCCGCAAGCAGGAGAAGAACAAGACGAAGCAGCAAAAGGACGAGGACGAGGGCCCACAGGAGCTGCTCGCCCGCCCCAAGGAGTACATTGTCAAGTTCCGTTTCCCGGAGCCCTCGCAGCTGCAGCCACCCATTCTGGGTGTGCACAACATTACGTTCGCCTTTGCCGGCCAGAAGCCGCTGTTCATCAAGGCCGATTTTGGCATTGATCTGAGCAGCCGTGTGGCCATTGTCGGGCCCAATGGCGTGGGCAAGTCAACGTTCCTCAAGCTGCTGCTCGGCGAACTGGAGCCGCAGCAGGGGGAGCAGCGCAAGAATCATCGACTGCATGTGGGCCGCTTCGATCAGCATTCGGGAGAGCATCTGACGGCCGAGGAATCGGCTGCCGAATATCTGCAGCGGCTCTTCAATCTGCCGCACGAGAAGGCGCGCAAGGCACTGGGCTCCTTTGGCCTGGTCAGCCATGCGCACACCATCAAAATGAAGGATCTTTCGGGTGGCCAAAAGGCACGCGTCGCCCTCGCCGAGCTGTGCCTCAGTGCACCCGATGTGCTCATCCTCGATGAGCCCACCAATAATCTGGACATTGAGAGCATTGACGCGCTGGCCGAGGCCATCAATGAGTACGAGGGCGGCGTCATTATAGTCTCCCACGACGAGCGACTCATCCGCGAAACCGGCTGCACTCTGTACGTGATTGAGGATCAGACAATTAACGAGATTGATGGCGAGTTCGATGACTATCGCAAGGAGGTGCTCGACTCGCTCGGCGAGGTCGTCAACAATCCCAGTGTGGTGGCCAATGCAGCGGTGCTGCAATAGCCGTCGTACCCGTCCCCCCCGTCACTCCCTTCAATCGTGTGTCTCAAGCCTAGTCCCTGGCCATGTCCCGGGCCCCCTGTCTCTGTTGATTATGCCTCATTGTTAATGGATTATCCGCTAGTTAGCCTTTTTATACCACATATATAAATAAACAATTAACAAATTGAGAGACAACAAAAAAGTTTCCTTAAATGTTATACTTTAATTCAACGAAAAATACATTAATTATGGGCTCAAACTGCTGGATTAGCCGCTGCGGTAGAACGATTTAACATTGTTCAGCAAATGTGCAGCGCCGTTGTAGCCATCCGCATCAAAATCAATGTTCTCGCCGCCAAATTCAATGACCTGCAAGCAGAGAGGAAAAGGCGTCACAGGAAAAAGTAGCAAGAATATAGTGAATAGTTTTGTTTGAGTTTGAAAATAGAGCCTACCTCCTTGCCCCGTATGGTATCGGCACCGTGAGGCACACCAATCACCTCGACCCAAGCACCCTGGGCCGCATCCAGATCGGTGGACAGATTGATGCGCAGCTTATGATTGTCTGTGGAACTGGCCAGCAGCGTGGAGCCGGCGACACTCTCCACGCGCACCATAATACTGACGGTCTGGCCGGCAAACTGTTTCAGCATGCTGCCGTTGATGATTGAGCGTGGATCAAAGGGTTCCATCATTTTGGTTTAGTTTTTAATTTAGTTTACAAATGAAAATTGCGAAATTGCTGCGACAACAAGAAAGAGCGCCAAACAGTGTGACCGTGGTGGCTACAATGAAAATACTGCTGAGTCGATAAGGTAAATATCAATTGAAGTTATTCAAAACATGTCTTGCCAAACTTGTGTTTTGTGTTGGTGACCTACAAACTCTCTTTTTCTTTGTGGTGATATAATAATAAATTACATAATTGCATTCTCACTACGCTCCATTTCACGCAGATTTACGTTAAAAAAAAATGTTGTTGATATGTAGCAAATTTGTAGTTAGCGAGTGGTTAGTGTGTCAAAAAAAAATTGTAGTGTTGTACATCCATTTGTTAACCCATTTTTTAAAGACAATACACTAAAAAGACCCTTTAAAGTCCACTGATCTTGTATAAAATTGATGAATCAAACGGGTAAAACTATAAGTTTGGTGTTGAAAGTCCCAACTTGCTTGTTAAATTAGATAGAAAAGCATAATTGGGGAATATGATTTTTCTCGGTATATTTACGGCATATTATGAAAGTGAGAAGATATACTTCTTAGCGCCAGACGGTATACCTAATCGATAAATCCCCGGTCACACTGTTTGCGTGCCGTGCGAACAACGGGACCATGACAGTAACAGCTGGCCGCGCTAATTAGAAAATGGAACAGATTTTGTGTGTACATAATGCATAATACAAACAAATACGCGAGAATTTTTTGGTGTTTCGTGTGAAGTTTGACAAATTGATAAGTGAGTGGCCAGACGGGAGTAGTACGCATATTCGCTCCGGTCATCAAATCGGACACACAAACAAACACACACACGAACACGCAGAGTTTTGTAATAAGACGAGAGTGTCCGCGATAGAGAAGAGTCTGGAAGTGAGAGCCGCCCCTCGATAATTACACACACACAGTCACACAATAGTAATAGATCCTCCTACTCCTCCTTCTGCACGTACCGCGCACTGGAAACAAAGGAAAATTTCAAATAAAATTGGAAATGCAAATGTAAAATGAATGACGAGGAGAACGCCAACAATGTACTCGCCATCGAGGGGCAGAGTACGGACCAGTTAACCAGCCATGCGACTCCCTCCCGCATCCGCCTGCCCATTGTGGGCATGACATGCCAGTCCTGCGTGCGGAACATACAGGATCACATTGGCAAGCGATCGGGGGTGCTCGTGGCTCGGGTGGTGCTCGAGGAGCATGCCGGCTACTTTGACTACGATGCCAGCCTCATCGATCCGCCGCAGATAGCCGAAGCCATTGACGATATGGGCTTCGAGTGCAGCTACAACACAGCCCTGACCAATATTCGGGTGGTGGGCATGACCTGTCAGTCGTGTGTGCGGAATATCGAGGGGAATATTGGGACCAAGCCAGGCATCCAGCACATCGAGGTGCAGCTGGCGGCCAAGAACGCCCGCGTCCAGTACGATCCCAGTCAGCTGACGCCCGACCAAATAGCGGAACTCATCGATGACATGGGCTTTGAGGCGAGCGTGGCGGCGGCGGCCACCAGTGAGGGCAGCAACAGTCGTCCGTCCACCCCGAAGACCAACAGTGCCGCCGCCCCCTCGCCCAGGCAGTCGCCCCGCAGGGAAACACAACCGGAGAAGAAGCACGCACAGAATGGCACGGCCACAGCAATACCTGTGGAGCAGGAGGCACTCACAAAAGTATTCCTGCACATACGCGGCATGACCTGCGCCAGCTGTGTGGCGGCCATCGAGAAGCATTGCCGGAAGATCTACGGCCTGGACAGCATACTGGTGGCCCTGTTGGCCGCCAAGGCGGAGGTCAAGTTCAATGCGAATGTCTTGACGGCGGAGAACATTGCCAAGTCCATCACTGAGCTGGGCTTCCCCACCGAGCTGATTAACGAGCCGAACAACGGGGAGGCAGAGGTGGAGCTGGAGATTGGTGGCATGACCTGTGCCTCGTGCGTCAACAAGATCGAGAGCCATGTGCTGAAGGTGCGAGGAGTGACGGCTGCATCGGTGACGCTGATGACGAAACGCGGTAAGTTTAATCCCCATGGAAATCCAACAGACACCACGCGCTATTAAAATCCACCACACACACATGCATGGGCGTTCCAGTGCGTGTGTTGGTGGCATTCCACAAATGCAATTGATGTCTCGAGCCCCGATTATATAATAATAAGCCCAAGCAACCAACTTGGATCTAGAGCACCTGGCACGCCACCAACAGCCGGGGCACCTGTTGAGTATTCCTCCCCCTTCCCTCAACCCACCACCCACTAAACGCCCAATTGAAACAGTTGGCAGAATTTTTGTTGTGGCAGCAGACGCAGAGGTTCCCATGTAGTATGTGCTGGAACTCGTTTTCGTGTCACAGACAGAGGCAATTGAACACTGAAACCAGAGCTCTGCAATTAATTGTTTTTATTGTCAAATGATATGGAACGTGTTGTGTTTGTTTGCAATTGCAATTGCTTTTTGTTCAAGGTAAAATTCATACAAACAAAACATACAAGGTGCAATGGGTACAGGGTGAGGAATGTCCCAGAATCTGTAATGAGAGAGAGGCAATAGGTTCTCCTCATCTCTCATTAATACTCAGAAAGAATCCAGATTAGAGTATTTACACGTGTGTGTGTGAGTGTAAGTATATTGAAGTACAGCTATCTGGGTTAGTGAACGCTAGCCTCAGTGCGTGGGACAGGAACAGCGGGAAACGGGAGCGGCAGAGCAGTGATTATCTCACGAGTGAGTGGGGGAGAGAGAGTGCAAAAGAGACCTATTCATAGAGAGAGGATGACTGATTGCAATGAGAGAAGAATGCGGGTAGGGCCGATTGCCTTAAGAGTGAGCGCGACTTTACATTGAAACACAATTAAATAGGATCAAAAAACGATTAAATTTGTTGTTGTTCATTACAAGCTGCGACCAACAAAGCATAATGCGTGTGTGTGTGGGAGTGGAGGGTGCGTTCTTTGTTCCCATTGCTCGTGATTTGGCAATCGAAGTATTGAAAGTTAAAAGACCCCTACTCCGCTGAGTCTCAACAGCAACAACACACGCCAGCGCATAAGCCTTGAAATCAAAAGCTCAACTTTTGCTCGAATCAAAAGCAAATAATAACAACAAAGACCAAACGAAAAGTGAAAGAGCCTCTCAAGCATCGTACAGCAGCGGGCCAAATAATTGGCAGCACTTAGGAGCTGTTTCCCACAAAGAAAATAAAAACAGCATATTATTATAGTAAAAGTAAAACCGGTCAGGTCTTAATCTTTCGATCACTAGCAGACCGAGCTATGTACATTCATTACTGTTATTGTTGCAAATATGACTAATATTTTTACCGCCACTGTCTGCTCTCGAAATATAAATAATCACTCCATTGTCTGGGGCGAAAGAGAGAAGTATGTAGATGGCTTCGCCTCCCCCCTTCCTGCAACTCCGGCTGCCGCTGACGCTCTTGTTGTTTACATGCGTGACCACGAACCGAAGACATTATTTCCAACATTTCCAACCCAACTTACACTTCCAGTGCCATTCACCTTCCACTTTGATTTACAGCTTTTTTTTGGAGTCTGCCTTTGCCTTGTCTCTCGCAGATTTCCATTCCAAATTTCTGCCCTGCCCGATTATGCAATGGGGTTTAGCAAACTTAACTTGATCCACAAACCGTTTTCAAATTCTTGTTTCCCCTTGAAATCCGCTTTGCGTACGTGCGGCGGCGACAAAACAGCAAATATAAAAGTAAAGCTTATACCAGCGTATGGAAGATATAATTATGATTGCAATAAAACTGGTTTCCATTCGAATGCCTTTACGTATCGTTGTATGTATGTAGCTTTCCATATTTTTCCTCACTTTCATTTCACACGGAGTAAATAGTGAAACAGGGCTAGATAGAGAACAGGACAGACAAAAGATCGCACAATTATCTCACTCTTGCGCGCTTTGCTAAGGGAATTTAAGGAAGTCTCACCTTATCGTAACTCTCTCGCAACGACACTTTGTTTGTACACATTTCATAATAGTTTCACGCTCATTTCTAATGACGAGTTATACATATATGTACATACTCTTTTCAGTGGGAACTTCGTGGAATTTCCATAATTTTACTTTGTCATAATGATAGATTTGATGGATAAGATAGGTAGAAATCCGGATGGGATAATGGATAAAATAGGGTCTCACGAGGGAGAAGGGAACAAAGCATGCGGTATCACAATGGGCCGAAACCGGCCTAGGTGTGTCGGGTCTCTGGCAACCCCGACAGCCGCCTCAACCTAACCTAACCTAGGTAGAAATGTACATCTACAAAGATCAGTCAACTATTTTCCAGATTTTCCTGACTTTCAGAGACCGTTCACAATGTTCTTTGGACTTTCCTGTCCCTCATCTATGTATTTTCAGTATCTCTAGGTTTAATCTGGTAATCTTTTTTCTATTATTGAATTTATATGTGATGTACAATATGTATGTATGATGTCTTGAATTGTAGCATGCCCCATGTTTGTGTGCATTCCAAATCGGAGCAGAGCTACTAATCATACCTTTATAATTAGACTCGTGAACATCGTGAAACTGGTCATGTTAGTTCCAGTTAGTTTTCTTTGCGATTTATTTGCTCTTTGTTTCAGTTAGTGTTCCACTTTAACTTTAACTTGCACTTGGGCTTTTGTTTGCTGCTTGTTTTTCAACTCTGGCAGTTCGGTAGTCGAAATTGGTCTTGTACAATTGTTGGGTAAAACATATGTTTACCTACCGCCGATGCTTATCAGATGGGGCGAGAAGTCGTAGCAGCGTCGATAAGTGACGACGACGACAACGACACGACGCTGCTGCTTGGAAACAACACAAACAAACAAATATGTGTGCTGCCAGAAAGAGGGGCAGAGGGGCAATTCAAATTGAAAATGTTCTAAAATTGTATCAACGAATCGCAAGCGATAAGATGCGAAAAAACTAAAACGAACACCAACCAAAAACACACACACAGATACAAATATAGGAACTGTAATCTGTAAGTCTTTGTAGTTGGGGGATTGGGTCGGCGAGTGTCACCGGCATTTTGGCCATCGGAAGATTG